ACTCAAAGGGCCTACGGAAAACGTGACGTACATATGCAGTTCAAGCAGCAGATGCAAACTGGATATACACAGCTTAGAATCGAGTGGCCTGGCATAACTGCACTTGGTCTGTGAGAGCATCGCAGTAATATCACCTATGTTGCCTCCCCTACACTGGTTATCCGGACGGTCTTGGTTTCTCGGGCATTTTTTCCCAAATCTTCGGGCAGTTTTACCTCAGCTTTGTTAATTGAGTAAATTATAACTCTTTCTTCTTCAAAAATGGTGCCGCAAGCTACCCGAGGATGGGGAAGCCATCGACAGCCTTGCCAGCGCTTGTTTCCTGCTGGCGCATGCTACAATTTGGGCTTTACTTTAGTGTTTTTGCCTCTCACAAAGGTTTTCAGGGGAACGCTTCGATTTTCAAAAAAAAAAGTACCATTAATTTTAATTTTCAGTTGCCCGAAATGAAGCGAAGTGCCATTCACGAGGTGTGTCTGCATGCAAAAATGTTTGCCCCCGGGAAAACTTCGGTGCGGCAGTTTTTGCTGAATGCTCCGGAACCACCAACTGCAGAAGCGATCGACCGCAGCTTAGAATTTCTTGAGGTTAGTAGTGTTTTGTAATTGTATGCTTGCAAAGCAACATTCTATCCTAATAGCTGTGCTTAGTTTATCGCCCGCAGCTTTGCATCTCTTCTATGTCAAAATTCCGGGGAATTAGCTGGAACTTTGCGTTTGAAGTTAACGCAACGAGGAAAATGTGAGCAGAATTCTGCCGCGCTCAGGGTTGGTGATTTGCACATAAATGGTCTTGTATTCTTCCTTTCTGTTATAATAATTCATACATTAAAATTTATGGGTTATGGCCGTTCCGCGTTTCCCACGGTTCGGACTGGCCGTTTACTTCAGAAATTGCGGTTCGGCCCACTAAAGGCCGCAAATTATTTATCAATTTAACCCACTTCGGCCTCTCCACTTGGACCGTCCACTTATGATTCGGTCTTCTAATGACCATTACTTATCATTACTGTTTCTGTACGTGTGTTCTTTTCTATTCACTTCTGTCCTACTATTTATATAGCTGCCTTGTGTATACTTAGAATATTTGGATGGTTGTTAAGTCTGGCTTTCCACCAAAACCTTTAACAACTTTTCCAGTTGCTTTGAACAATTCTGCTATTCCTGGCGATCAATCTTTTACCCTCCTTTCAAATTTCTTTTTCTCCTTTTTTGCGACAGTACCAGTTCCAAAAAATAGAAGGGCCAACCAGATTTGGACAGTCCAAGTAGGGTCGCCGAAGAGGGTGAAAGTGTAAGTTGTCTTTTGTGGCTGTTGGTAGGCTGAACCATACTTTCTGACGTAACGGCCCGTACAAACCAAAAAAAAAAATTAAGAGTGGCTAAATTCCCTCATTTTTTTCGCCGTCGTTTGTTTACCAGGCATTCTATTTTTAGCAAATCGACGCACTTCTCAATGCTCGGCAAGAATCAACAACAGTAGTGTCGAGTTTCGATGAGCTGTACTTTTCGAGCAGTTGGGAACGACAGGAGGAGCCTGATTTGACCGATTTTGGGCGTCATATTGCTCAGCTGCCACTCGATCCACAGCTTGCTCGGCTGCTTCTGTTTGGCATATGTTTGAAATGCCTGAGCCCGGTGCTAACACTTGTCTCTGCCCTGTCACATCGTGACCCATGTAAGTTACTGTTTTTATTCTAAAGTGAATCTTTAAAAGCCAGCTTTGAGTTCCATTCATCCAATCGCTTGCTACCCGCAAAGTGCTTTCGAGTGCCGTCGCCTCCTAAAAAAATACGTTCACGGGGAGGGAGGAGGCGTGGGG